TTGGGGGGCGGGGGGGGCCAGCATGGTGCGCTAGGGGGCCGCAATTTTCTCAGCTCGTTTAGGACGCTAGGTTTATCAGCTACACCCTTCGGTTTCGTTGGTTTCCTCATGTTCTGCTAGGGAACAACCACGCCAAGACAGCCCATAATGTGGTTGCATATCTCTTGGGTCGCTATATCTGTGTCTGTTGCCATAAAGAAGATATCCCACTTAAGTGCTCTTAAATGAGTGGAGAAGCTTTCCTAATCAAAGCGTTGTAGAGGACGGATAAAGCCACTGGGGGAGGTTGTAATGCACAGTAGTGGGCAGTCGGCTTGTTAGCTTCACGGCCTTATGATCACTGCCAAGAAGGTTGTCAAGCACACAGACGCGCTTGGTTGATGCCTTTCGTGAATATTAAGTCAAGAGCATAAGGTTTCCTGATAGGTGAGTTAAAGGGTTGCGTCCAGTCGGTACGCGAACGATAAGGTCGTACAAAGACGCTCTATACTTAAGAGGATGGAGGAGTGGGGAAGCACCGAGTCCAATACAGATGTGCGGGCAGTAGTAGTTGAATGCCGCACCGCCGGGAGTATCGTAAAGCGTGAAGGCAACAGCGAAACTTTGAAGAGCAGCTCGACTAATTTTTGATCTCAGCTGTTGAGATATGTGGTCGGATGTAGACGACAGCCACATTGAGGTAGGTCTACAGGTGCTCGCCATCAGCCGGTATCCCATATTAGAGTTCCTGACCGGTAACCCTAAGGATAGGACTAGGAAGGAGGACGATAGAAAGTCTTCGCTGACCCGCAGATGTGGCCACCCTCGGCGCCGGCGGTCTCTATCAGCGGTCCGACTGCAAGAATGAGAGCAACGTAGCGAGGTATTTGGATGGGTGAGTCAGACGAAGAACTTGGCAGAGCTTTGCCAAGCCTCTGCGATTAGGACCGGTGTGTGCTTATGGACATATGGCAACAAGTCGGACCAAGCAGGTGATTCTTTTTGATTAATGAGACCTGGCGCGTGATGCGAAGCATTATTATGGGTCCCCAGTCTTACTATAGATTCGTCCGAAAGTAAGAGGGCATTAGGGAGCTATGGGCTTCTAGTCGAGGCATCTCTTGAGCTGGTGGGTAACTAATGAATTTGAGTAAACCAGTTTGCTTAGCGGCAGAGCACAGGCGATCCAGAATGTGGTAAGGGGCTTGTTTGCATGCATGAGTGGAGATGCATGCCGGGTAGGTCGGTGGAAAGCAATGGGAGAGGTTGGGAGTAGTATGGAGCATCGAATCCGAGGGGAAGAATGTGGAGGTAACTGATGATGTATATGAGCTGAGAGATCTAGCCCGAAGTCGGTCATGAGGTTGGCGTTTAGAGGAGCCCCGACCCCGGCCGCCCCCGCCGCCGCCCCCCCCCCGATCCGCCCCCCCGCCCCCCCCCGCCGATACCCGCCCCCCCCCCCCCCGCCGCCCCTCCCCCCCACCGCCCCCCCCACCGAACCCGCGACCCCCGCCGCCCCCGCACACCCGCCGTCCCGCCCCGTGCGCCCGCACGCCCCGTCCGCCCCACCCGCCCACAAAGGTTTTTCCCCCCACAACCCCCCCTCGACCCCTCGGCCTCCCCCCGGCCCCGGAACACCCACCCGCCCCCCCGGCAGCCCGGCCCCTCGGTCCGATCGAAACCCACTCAGCCATCCCCCCCGACCCCCCGCGCCCGGGGCCCGATTGCAACCACCCCCCCGCCCACCCCGCCGCCACCCGTCCGATTCGCTCCCCCGATCCCCCGTCCCCGATCCCTGAGCCCCCCTACGCCCGCCCCGCCGATGCCACCCCCCACCCGATTCCGTCCCCCCCGATTATTACCCCTCCGCCCGCCCCACCCCCCCCCCCCCCCACGACCCCCCGCGGGCCGTCGCCCCCCCCGGGACGACACACGAGCCCGATCGAGTCCCCCCCGATCCCCCCGAACCGCCCGCTCCCCACCTCCGCGCACCCCGACCGCCCGCCCCGATTCCCGCCCGGCCGACCCGCCGCCACCTTCACGTCCGACCCCCGATCCCCGACCCCCCCCACGATCCTCCACCCGATCCCGCGCCATCGACCGACACCGCCCCCCCGACGCTACCAGTCACAGCACGACCACCGAGCCCGCACCCCGGCCGCCCCGCCCCGGCCCGCCCGCTAGTGAGTGCCGCCACCCGCCGTCCCCCGGCCCGCGATCCGCCCGCCCAATCACAGCCGCCCCCCGACCGCAGTTTTCGTCGCCCGACCTCACCCCCGCCCGCCGCCACCGCCCAGCCTCACGCCAATCCGCCCCCGTCCCCCATCCTCCGCTCACCCGATTCCCCCAGGACCGCCGCCCCCACGACCCCAGTCTCCCCCCCCCTCCCCGCCGATAGTTACCCCGCCCCCCTCCCCGCCCCCCACCAACGCGACCCAGCCCCACCTGACCGAGGCCCGACTCCGCCGCCCGCCCGGCAGCCCCCCCCGATTCCCACACCAAAGACGGCCCGCCATCCCCGCGCCCCCTAGGGCACGGTGCCCCAGTTCCCGCCCCCCACGACCCCCGGCTCTATCGCCGCCCGACCCACCCCGATCCTGCGCAGAACCCCACCCGGCCCTGACCGCCACCGCACCCGATTCCCGACCGCCGACGAGGCGCCGCGACCGCCGCCTAGCCCGTCCGCCCACGAACCGCCCGACCCCGCTCATCCACGCTGCACGTTTCCAACCGACCGATCCCCGCGCCCGCCCCCCCGCCCTCCACACCCCGGTTTACCCCCGCCGCCCGCCCGCCGCCCCCCCCCGATCCGACCCCCCGGACGATCCCCCGTCCCCCAGTTTCCACGGCCCACCGCCCGGCCCCACGGGCCGCCCCACACCCCGCTGCACCCGCGTACGCCCCCGCCGCCCCGCCGCGGCCCCCCCTCGTGTCCCGCGCCCCCCCCGAGCCACCCCTGCACGACGAGTCATATCGGAGTTCACCCAGCGGCACAATCACCGACGCCCCGCCCTCCGCCCAGCTTCCGACGCGTTGTCCGATTGCCCCCCCAGTCCAAGTTCCTCAGTGCGCGCAGTCGCCCCCTTCCCGGAGCCAGTAGTCCCCCCCGGCCGCTCCCCCGACCGGCTCGATCCGCCGCCGACCCCGCCCGGACGCCGATCACCCGCCACGACCCGACCGCCACCGTCCCCCCCCCCGCGCCCCCCCCCCCCGCCGCCCCGCCCGATCCCCCAGTTCCCCTTCACGGCACCCAGCGGCAGTTGTTAAGTGACCACCCGTTCGCCGCGTCGCACCAGGCCCCACAGTTCCGCCCCCCGCCCGCCCGCCCACCGATCCCGCGATCCCCGTACGCCCCGACCTCACGACACTCCGCCAGATCAACCCCCTCCCGTCGCCCCCCCCCCCGTCCTGTTCCTCCCGCCCCGCCCCCCCCCTCGCCACCCAGTCACGCCCTCGATCTTAGCCGTGACCGACAAGCGCGCGCACCGGACCCGCCGCCCACCCCCGCCCCCGCCCGCGGCCGCCGCCCAACGCCCCTCGATTCAGTTCCCCGCCGCGCCGCCACTCCTCCCCCGCGATCCGCCCCGACCGTCCCGCTCAGTAGAGGTGTTTCCTCACCCTTCCCCCGCGCCCGAGCCCCCGACCCCGAATCCCCGCCCCCCGACCCACACCCCCACCGCCCACCACCCCCCCCGCGCACGCCCGCTCCGACCCGCCCCCACCACCCCAACCGCCCGACCCCCGCCACCCATATATATAGATACACCCGCCCGGCCCCCCTCCCCGCCCCCCGCGCCGCGCCCCCGGATCCCGTACGAACACCGCCACCGACACGTTATAACCCCCCACCCCACCGCCGTCCGTCCCCCCCCGCCCCCCCGCACGGCCCCCTCCCACGCCCGAGTCTACCCCCTGGCCCGATCCGCCACGCCCCCCCGATCCCGCCGCCCGATTCTGCCGATGCTCGGGCCCCGCCCGCACACGAGCCCCCACACGCCGTTACACCGATCCCGTCCCCTACCCCGCCGCGACCCACCCCCACGACCTCCCCCCTCGACAACGAGCCGTCCCCTCCCCGACCCCGCCCACCCGATTTTCCGCCACCCCCCCGGCCGAACGCTCCCAGACCTGACGCCCCGGAGCCCACCGACCAGCCCCCGCCTGCCCCCCGATCCGCCCCACCGCAGTTTGCCGCGGGCCCGACCTACGTAGGCCGACCGCCCTCCCTCCCCGAACCCGCCCCGCCCCGCCTGACCCCCGCCGCCGTACACCCTCACCTCGAACGCCACCCTGCCCCGACTACCGACAGTCCCACCCGACGCCCCCCCCCGATACCGATCGCACGACCGCTCCGCTACCCCCCCGCCCCCGCCGCCGCCCGATACACGCCTCGGCCCCCAGTTCCCCGCCCACCGCCCCCCTCCGATCCCCAACCGCGCCCGCCCCCCCGACCCCCCCGCCCCCGACCCCCGTTTCAGCCGCCTGGAACCCAACCCCGATGTCGCGCCCGAGACCCCCCGGCCGCGTCAGTTTCCTCGCTCCCCAGTTACCCCGATGCTCACTCCCCCCCCGGCCGCCCCCGCACGATCCCCCCCCACGCGCCCCTCACACAGTTTCCCGGCAGTGCCCTCGAAACCGCCGCGCCCCGACCCGCCCGCCCACCCGCCACCCGACCCCATATCCCCCCCGTCGGCCGCATCGCACACCGCGATCCCCCGACCGCTCCGCTTACCCGCCTCCCCCTCCACCGTACCCGCCCCGACCCGCCCGATCCCCCCCCGCGATCACCCCCCCGCCCGCCCGCCGCGCGTCCCTCCACGCCCCCCCGCCACCGCTGGCCGCCGTCCCACCCCCGCTAGCTGGCCCTCCCGAACTCGGCCCTCCCGATCAAGCCTCACCCACCCCCATCCCTCTGCACGCGCGATTCCGCCGGGTCCCGATACCTCCTGCCACCCAGCACCAGTGCGTGTACCGACCGGCCCCCCGACGCTCGCACCCCGACGCCTACCGAACCCGCTCCCGATTCCCGCCGCCGTCCCCGATCCGCCCCGAGTCACGTGTCCCTCCGACGACCCCGCCACGCCCCCACCCCACTCACCACGCAGTTTAAAAGGTCGCCCCCCTACCCCGCCCCCAGCCCCCCCCGAAGCCGACCCGCCCCGACCGCAGCCGCGGAGAGTTAGGTCCCCTCCGGACCCCCGATTTCCGCCGCCCCACGAGCGCTCCCGCCCCGCCCCGCCCGGCCGATTGCCCCGCGTCCGCGCTCGACGTCGCCCCCCAACCCCCCCGCCGCCCCCCACAGGCCGGCCCCCCGATCCGAAGCCGCCACCCCACGAACCCCGATCCCCACCCCCGCCCGTCCCCAGTTACGATTCCGCGTCACCGGTCCGGCCGCCCCCGCCCCGAGTTTTCCGCCGTCATCGTCCCCCCCCGACCGCCGCCACCGCCCGCCCCTACAGCCACCCACACCCGATCCATCCAGTTCCCCACCGGCCCCTCAGGAGGCGCACAACCCTGCCCACGCCCCTCCCGCCACCTACCCCTCTCAGTGCACACCCCTCCTCGTTCCGCCCGCCCGCCCCACCCGATTCCGCCCGCCCGCGCCCCCCCGATACAAACGCACCCGCCCGCCCCTCTCCCCTCCCCGAATGCCGCCACCACCCTCGTTCCACAGTTTCGCCCAACCAGTCCCGGCACTCCCAGACCTCCACCCCCGCCTCCCCCCCGTCCGCCCACCACCCCCGAGTTCCCGCCGCCCCCGACCCCCGATCCCCCACGCCCGCCCACAACCGCCCCCTCGCCCCCGAGTCCGTCAGTCCGCCGCCGCCCCGCCCCCCCGAGTTACTCCATGCCCGATTCCCCCGCCCCGCCACCGCCCGACCTCTGGTACGCCCCGCCGATGCCAGGATCCGCCACAGGCCCCGCCCCAGAAGCGCAGTTTATACCCCCCGCCCCGATTGCCCAAAGTAGGTTGGTTAGAATCACTTGTGCCATGCCTAGGAATTGTGTCAGGTGGTAGAGCGGCGCTGCTTGACCCTCGCGAGCTTAGAGAGGAGGCCCGCACCTTGCGGTGTTCCATAAAAAAGGGACCGCGGAACGTGTCGTCATGATTCGTGGCACCACGGTGTGTTGTTGACGGACTTTTGCCTGGCGTGGTGGGATAGGTAGATGGGGGAGCGGGGCATGTGCGGAATTTGTTAGTTCCTTGCGCCCATATGGGTTTCACCCTGGTGATGTTGCTGTTCGGTCAACCGTGTATCGGATTTTGCGCGGGGTCTGGCGAAGCACGGTGGGGCTTGGGGTTCTGAGTAGGTAATTCTTACGTTGCGGCTGCTCAGTACTGATTGTTACCGTAGGACACTTTGCTTCGTATCGTGAGGGTGAAAGTCTAGTTTTGCCCTCATGAGTTGTGTTGGCTATTTTTGTATGGTTGGTCTGGACGACACATCTTATTGGGCTTTGCCCGTGCAGCATTGCAGTTCGACCAGTAGTGGAGTGAAGTGTATGCAGGGTCTGGTTACGCCTCGCGGGGCTTGGGGTTCTGCGTAGGTAATTCCTAAGTTTCGGCAGCTCAATCCTGGCTGTAGTTGTAATAGACTTCGCTTCGTAACGAGGGGCGGAGGCCAACTGGTGTTCGTACGATTCGTCTTGCCTATATTCTCGTTCTTAGTTCGGTCGAAGAATCGCTTTGGGTTTTACCAGAGTGGTGTGTAGATCGGCCTTCAGTGTATGGGGTTTGGGTGTAATCCAATTACCAGTTGTTATGCTAGGGGTTATGAGGAGGTAATTCTTACGATGTGGCTGATTAACCTTGGCTGTCGCTTTACTAGACTTCGGCCTAAGGCTGGTAGGCTGGGGGCTTGGTTTGGCTGGCAAACAAGGGGTGTTAGCTTGGCTGTTTTAGTGCGTTCGAGCATCGATTCGTTGCTATAACATAGTGGTTTTGAAGGGAGCCAATGAAACACGTTTATCAAACTACCTGGGTTTGGACATCTGGGCTTAGGTATCGTGTCGGTGTCAGGCTACGCGAGATCGTTCACGATACTGGAAACCGGAGCATACGCTGGTAAGAAGCCCAAGCTATCGAGTTCAGTGTTGGTGTCATGTATACAAGACAAGCTGCTGGGCTTTTCACAGCATTCTGTTCTGTTAATGGTTGCATTCGAGGTGGCCGCAAGTTGTGCCCGTCTTTCATCTGCGGGTACCTCTAATACGATAAGATCTAATTGTCGTTGTGACAAGTCCATGTCAACGTTGTAAGCCATTGATGAGCTTGCTGTGGGAGTTGCGTTCATGTGCATACCAGTTAATTGCATGCCTGGTATTGGTGTCGTATTGGTAATTGCATTGGCAAAGGTCGTGACAGCGGTTACTGGGGACCATTCAGTAAAGTTTCGTCTGAGAGGCTGTTGGAGAGGGTTCAGGAGCATATTTAAGTTGTAGTTAGACGTAGCGGCTGGAATGATGGGAGAGGTTTTCATAGTTATGGAATTGCTCAGTCACTGCTTATTTGGGGTTCGCACATTTGACATGAACGTCCTTTGCAGTGGAGTCATGTTCTGTTTATTCAGAATGGGCCCGAGCTTCGCTTGCTGTCTTATGGTGAACTTGTGGTCTAGAACGCAGTTGGCATGATCTTGGCTGCTGAACTTGAAGACAATTGGGCAGGACCGGCTTTTTTCCTTTTTCGGAGGCGGCTACATGACCAGCAACCCCGGTTCATTTTGCATACACTTAGAAGTGAGCGTGTCACTTCCTCAACTTATATGCCATCCGGCACCTTAAATATTATTGCATTTCGTGCGCGGAGGACACATTCGTTGACTTCCTTGGCGAGCTTGTTGAGCAATTCACCCGCTGCGTTAAGGTCTTTTACTATGGCAGCTTTATGAAGGTCTGATAGACGCGTCAGCGGTATAAGTTTTGCTATCAATTGATACATATGTTGCAATTCCGATTTCACCGAGTTTAGCTCATTTTTGATGTTTTATGCTTTAAGAAGTGTGTCCTTGAGATGGTCTTGTGGTGCTGCCTTACAGTCAGAAAGCGAACGCGATGGATAGGTTGGTGGCAACGATTTTACTGCTGTTACTGACATTTTAGCGTCATGTAGTGCATCCGTCCGTGGATCAAAAAGAAGCACAAAGTAAGTAGCCAAGTTTCAAAGTGTAAGAGCTTCAGAGTTACCAGTTGTCATCTTGTACTTTGTGTTATAGCTATTTGTGGTTTCCGTTTTGAGACTACAGTGGGAGCAGGACAGTTACCGGTAGTGCTCTTGTTCATCTGAATGTCCTTCCGGCGTCTTCCCCTGATCATAGCGCTGGGGAGTGTAAGTTGTGTTTCACTTCTTTGAACCATTTGACAAAAGTCAAGTTCTTTCGGTAGTGCTTGTTCAAACACGGGTTTTTACCGTTTTTTCTAATATGCTTGTTAGTAATGAATGGCAGATTTTAGGTTACGGCGTCAAGGTGCGGTGCATCTATACGACAGGGCGCTGCACTTAGCAGGGGAGAAATCAAGCTTTCGTGTGTTTTACCAAGACTCTAATGCTTTAAGGTCAGTTTGAAGGTTAAGGGGACCGCTCCTTAGGTTACTCTGGTCAAAGGATAATACGAGTTTGATATCGTCGGCGATAAGGTACGCCTTTACATATTTAGACTTGAAATGCGTCGTTAATATAAAGTTGGAGGAGTATTGGGCCCAGTGCACTTTCCTGGAACACACCACTCGTAACTGGTTTCGGTGAAGATTAGAAGTCTCCTAGTCGCACAGCCTGCGTTCGACAGGAGCGATAGTAAGAGAATCAAGGATGCAGCTAGTCCGATATACCGTACGAAGCCAGGTTAGTTAGCAGTCCTTTGTGAGGGACTCGGTCGAGAGCTTATCCGTATCCAAAATGACAATGAGCAGGGCTTTTCTGCAATCAAGCATGGCGGTACCGTAGTTCAAGAACGCCAGCTGGCATGTTTGATAGGATTTAGACAGCATAAATCCATGCTGTGCTTTGTTGCTTAGATTACGATGAGTCAAGAGCCGTAGGAGCTCTTCCTTGACGATCTACACCATCACGCGTGAAGCGAATGTGGTGTGACTAATAGATCGGTAGTTTTCATGTTTTGGACGGCTTTCCCTTTTGGGACTTGGCATGACTACTGCATGTTTCCAAACAACGGGAAAGGTTCCATGTTGCATGGAAAGAGTGAAGCGATAAAGAAAGTGGACGACAGTATCCAGACCACCTAGGATTAGCAGAGCCGATGGGAGTGCATCAGGTCCGGCGTGGAAGGATAATTTAAGAGACTGGAGTTCCGAGTAATGTTACGCAGGTCGAATTTTGCTACGCGTAACTTATCATTGGTGCAACTATGAATATTAAGAAAAAGGCTCAGGTTAGCAGCGCCGAAAGATGCGCAAAGTAGCGGTTCATGACCTCGATTATTGCACCTTGGGTACCGGTAACTGATTTGGCTACAGGAATAATCGAGTTAACCGAATTCTAGTCGTGGTGGCTTCTGCGTCTCATCAGGAAACTGAAGGCTTTGATATTGTTGCTGGAGTTTGGAGCAATGTGTTCTTCGGAGAGATGTGCGGTAGTTAGTGAATTGCTCCATTCCAAAACAATCTCTATATAGAAGAGTTACGGAGGTTACTCTAGGGAGCCGGATAAAAATGATGCATCCCAATTTCTCGACTTATTAAATAGAGCAAAGGTAGCTTAAGTGATTGAATTCACCTGCCAATGAAACTGGATGTCACCTGTTCGAGTAGGATTAGCGATAGAACGTTTTACGCACAACTAGCTTAGTAGTATTTAATGGTCGCCTCCATAGAACTCCTGGCCTAAACTTTCTCTCAGTTTGAGATGCCTATGATAAATGCCAAGTCAGAATATGCTTCTTCTGGTAGGGGCCAAAACAGGCTACCCGTATTCACCCAGGTTGATGCAAGCTAGTAAACTTGCAACTTTCGTAGGAGCGGTTGTTTGGAATCGATCCAGAGCAGGCAAGTTGAAGTGCCCTGGGACAATTTTGTATTCACAAGGACGGCTCGATGAACGCACGAACGTTGCCATGAGTGCATTAGCACTTGCCTGTGATGCGTCAGCGGTCCAGTATACGTATTCTAATAATACTGTAGCCTCCACGGTGTCGGTCGTTATCCATACGAAGTCCATGGGCTCTGCAGTGGTACTTATTTTCCTACTTGTTGAGTAATTTTTAGGTAGGTAGCACTTCCTCCCACTCATTTGTGTATTCTAGATTGCGTATACAGCCGATATCCAGGAACAGTGTGGGTATTATCGACATGGCATGGTGTGAACTACTTTTCATCAATTTGCATCCGGTGCGGTAAGGACGGCCCTGGAGGTAGAACGTGCAGCATTTTACTAATTGCTCGGGCATTCTTATGTATGAGTGAGAGAGAGCTGTCGGGGTCCATAGCTGTACGGCTTAATCGCAACAGCCACTGCTTGCTACTGAGCCCCCATAGAGCAGAAGCAGGAATTGAGTGAGATGACTTAGGAAATGTTTGCTCCTTAATGACTTGTTGGGCTATGGGATGAGCTTGTCTTAGCTCATCCTCACTTACTATAAAAGGCTCTTGTTGTGGAGTTATACCAAATGCGTTGTTTTGCCTATACGTCTGATCTATTTACGTCCTGCT